TGTTCTCAGCCAAGTACAGATTGCGCAGAGATCCTGCAAAAGTCGTATAGAGTCTTGACGACAGACTGGAGTCTTTCCTTGCGGTCGCAGATGGTGGGAGCGGTGGCACAGTGCCGGCCGATGTGGACCTAGACACCACCGACGTCTTGCGGCCACCCTTACCGTAGACTGACACCACAGAGCTCTTCCTGTCACCACCGCCTGGTACAGGCGATGGCCCAACGCTCAACAGCGTTGATGATGAGTTCTGGCTCGGTCTCCTGGATGCATCCGGTGATTCTTCCAAGGGAGATTGGGCAATGCGCTCCATCGGGTTGGCCTTGTTCACAGCAGCTGGCGTCTGTGATTCTTCGCCTGATGGCCGTGGTTGTCTGGAGCCTGGCTTGGGGAAGTTTTCCAAAATATTGGAAGATGCGTTGAGAGTCTCGAGCTTATTAGCCCACCACAGCTCCATCGGCAACTTTCTGATGTTATTCCTCCGCACGTCCAACACTCGCAGCTCTGTGAGACATCCTATTGATGGCGGAAGTTCCGCTACGTTGTTGTTGGCAATGCTGAAGTGTTCCAGCTTGCTGAGATTGCCGATGAGGGGCGGCAGGGAAACGAAGTAGTTCTTGTCCAGCACAAGACGCTCAAGGTTCAACATCATGTTAAACGTCTCGTCGATACTCGCAAGTTGACAATGAGATAGATTTAGCATCTTCAACGTCAGGACCGGCTCGTTGATCTCGAACTTGGTGATTGGGTTAGAGTTCAATTTTAAGCTCCGTATCCTGTCGAAGCTGCCGATAAACTGTGAGATGCTGTTGTGGTCTGCAGAGAGAATCTCTAGCTTGGGAAGCAATGAAATGATATCGATGCTCGTAATAGCGTTGTACTTGATGTCCAACTCTCGAAGGCCCTGCAGCTCGCTGAAAGTGTCGGGTAGCGCACTTGATAGCCTGTTGTTGGTTATGACAAACTTTTCCAAGTTTCTTAGTCTCCCAATCTCGTTAGGTAGACTGCTTATCGAGTTGAAGCTCAAGTCCAACTCAACGAGAGTCTCTACCTGGCAAAGGAACAGTGGGAACTTGTCCAAAAAGTTGGATGAGATATTGAGGTTCCGCAGAGCCCTGTAGGCACCGAAATACGGCGGGAGTGCCTTGAGACGGTTATTGGCTATGTTGAGCTTGAGTATGCCTTGCAGACCGTTCAGTTCAGCGTGGTCCAGCTGTTCCAATCGGTTGTTCGACACATCGAGGTATGTCAGCTTTGCCGCCTTGCCCAAACTGGGGGGTAATCTTCGTGCTTCGTTGTTGTTGAACTTGATGTCTCTCAAATTTTGACATGACTGGATAAAGTCGCGAGGGAGATCCAGTGAGAGGTTACGCGAGAGGTTTAGCGATATGATCTCAGAGGCTTTGGAGTAGAGCGAAATCGGGATGGTAATAAGGTTGCGGCCAGCAAGGTCGACATGGTTGAACTTCTGTATGCGTCCAAGTCCAAGATCATTCGTGACGGAGTGGAAATCGCTCTCTCTTGAGGAGAGGAACATAAAACGGCACAGATAGCTGTTGTCCTCCCGACCGACGTCTTCGATCCGGTCCCGCTCCTCGTAACCAATTTGTTGCAGGAGTCGCTTCTGCATCAAGAGCGGACGCTCGGGAGCTGCGAGCACCCGGACCAAGTCATGCTTCTTAAGAATGATGTGGTAATTCTCCAGCCCGTCCGTAGCGTAAGTCTTCTTGATAAGCTGTGATATAACATCGGTAACGCTCGCATCGAGAGCCATGGACAAAGTCGCAAATGTCCCGTCGGATCTGAAGATTCGGATGCAGTAAGGTGTCATCTTCTCGTCGGGTCGAGGTGGACTGCCAATATCGTCAATGTCTGGCGCCTGGTAGGTGGTGTCCTCGGTATTACGACGCACAGCCCAGCTGTCCGGCGCGTTCCAAGAACCATTGGGTCCGAGGACAGCATCGGGCTTCGCGGGCACTGGAGGTGGTTGTTCGACTTTTTCGGCATCGCCAATGCTGGAGAAGACGCCGCTGTCCATGGGTGTCAAGGGTTGGGGCTTCGTAAGGATACCGTCCATGTCGCTCAGGTTGGTGTCCAAGTGAATTCCTCCAAGCGATCCGAGATTATTGTTCGCTCCAGGCTGCCTGTCCGTCGGTCCAATCAGCTCATCCGGCTCCATAGTCCGTTGTTGCCGGCCTTTGCTCTTGGAAAACGGGAATCTGTTATTGAACGTCTGGTTTCGTTGGTTGTACGCTGCTAGTCGAGGATCCTGGTCTGAACCAGGCTCGGTACCTGAGAAGGCGAGCGGGAAGGTTGAAGGCGACAGCTCGGGTCTAGCGAATTCGGGACGAGAAGGCTTGGTAGCCAGTGACCGAGTCGAACCGGGCAGATCGCGTAGTCTAGACGCTCCGTCATCTTTGTCCTTGTTCCGCCGTAGACGATGCAATAAGTTTCTCTTGGAATGATGCTGCGGCTGCTGCTGTTGCTGCTGCTGGCCGCTGGGCGACGTGGAGCCATCGACAGTGCCATGTCTCGAACTGAAGTAGCCGCCGCTCGGCGTCGGGCTTTGGGCGCGGGATCGATTGGAGCCGTACATGACTGTCGCTGCTGAGCCGCCGCGCTCTCGAGGGTTCTGTTGAACTTGCAAGCTGGCCTGCGAATCTTCCCTGCTTACAGTCGGTCGCAGGGCCCTGCCATCATCAATGCTCCTGTTGTGTCGATGGTGGTGGCCAGGGAGATGCACGATTGAATGGCCGGAGCGGCTGGATGAGGAGGTCTTTGGTGGATTTTGCGGGTTGTTGGGATTTTCGTTGTTCATGTAACGTTCGCGGTCGGGGCCGCTCAAAATGTCTCTGACTGGGGCTTCGCCGAACCTGGCAATATCCTTGAAGCACATTTAGCAGTCTTGACTCGACACAGAGACGCGGGTGGAAGAAGGGGTAATAAGAGATAAGATAAGGCGATGGGTTGATGCGGCGCAATTCCCGTATGCGAGATAGCGGCGCCAAGGGTGCGGATGTGCGGAATGCGGATGGGGATTGAAAAGAGGAGGGATGTTCACCACGAAATCAATCGTGGAGAGTGGGATCAACAACAATGCACAAAATAGCGTCTACTCACATCAGCCTCCTGGTAGAGGAATGGCACGACTTCAGGAGCCGGTACTGGGGTTCTTGGTCTTGACGAGGAAGGCGAAGCTTCTCTATCCCGTGCATGGTCTGTCGCGTTAGAGTAGTTGCGATCTCTCGTAGGGCGGCTGTGGCTGTAGGAACGCGAGCGGTCCCTGCCAGAACTCGAATGCAAGCTGCTCTCGGAACCGTCTCGTCCAGGAAACTCCTCCCCAAAGAAACCCTGTAGTTTTTGTAATCCACCTCTTCGGATGCTCGTCTTGGAGCCCTGACTGCTCAGGGTCGTTATGCTAGCCAGAGAAGGCCTTCGTTCGTCTCCGAAATAGGCTACATCTGGCGAATCTTGGCTGCCAGAGGATTGAGGCGCGAGGCGATTTGTAGGGGCACGGAAGCCAGGCGAGAGCTGTGAGGCGACGGAGAGGTTATCGCTCGAGTCGTTGTAGAATGTAGTATTGAGCTGGCTCTGAGGCGTGGATGCGGTGGCACCGCCGTTGGATGGCGACATCCAGGGAGCTATCTGTGAATTTGACGAGGGAGTGGCGGTGGGAGGGTTATGTTGGATGGAGGGCAGACGGCCGCCAGAAGTCTCTAGGACGGCCAGGTCTCTTCGGTAGTTGGCGAGGTCGCTCAGACGGTGATCGCGATAGGACGAGGCATTGGACTTTGTTGTCCCTGGTGACAAAGCTCCGCGCGGCGCAGAGGCAAAAGTGGAAGACGTAGACGGGTCGGCTGGGCTCAAATCACTGATGAAAGACCTAGACGGGGGGGGCGGAAAGCAATGACCAGTCAGTTATGGGTGCATTCGTCAATCAAGAAGGGAACACGGAGGAAAAATGGAGGAGTAAGTTGTTAGTCTGGTGGGAGAATGAGTTTGTCTTGGGTGCTTGGCTTGAGAAGCTGTAACTGGGCTGGACTGTAGGGATCGAAAACAGCAGATAGCTCCACCATTGAAGCGACGACGACAAAGCTTGCCTGGGGCCGGGGCGGAGGAGGAGGAGGAGGAGGAGTAGGCGAGGGTACGGGGGAGGGGTGAGGTAAGGCAGGCTGCAGGACAGGGCAGAGGCAGGGAACGTACGAGGTACGATGAAAGTGCGGATGAGGCTTGTTGGTTCAGGGTCGCCGGGCTGCTGGCTGTTGCTGGAACTTGGCTTGGAGGGGAACGTTGGGAACAGTGCCAGCCAAGGTACAACAAAATGGGTAGGTATCCGTAGTGTGCGAGAGGAGGGGTGGAGGGGGAAGGGGGACAATACAAGACAAATGTTGCAATGCAATGCGCACACCAAGGCAATACGGGCAAAGTAGCAGACTGGAAGCAGCCCAGTAGCAGCATCTAGCAGGGCAGAAAAAAACAAAAGCAAGACAAGCACAAGCAAAAGCACGACCACAAGCTGGCGACACCTCAGCTAGGTAAGGTAGGTACGGATAGGTAGTACGAATAGTTGAGAACTTCAGAGAGTCCTTGGAACTAGGTATTCCGTTCCATGGACACTATTCGTACACCAGCTGTGTCTCGACTGGGGCTGGGCTGGGACTGGGTTTCGGGACGCCGCCGCGGCACGCAGGGGGGGGAAAAGCTGCGGGACGACAACCTGAACCAACGAGTGGCAGGGAACACCGGCCCTGGGCAGCAGAGACAGAGACAGAGACTGAGAGAGAGTGAGAGAGAGAGACAAAGAGGAGACCAGGGAAGAGAGTGAGCGCCAGGACCACCTCACGACTCAAACAACCCACTTGCAGCTTGCGGCTTGCCCACGCAGTAACTGGGTGGTGCGAGGTGAAGGTACTGAGTGAGTGTGTGGAATCAAGGTATGAACCCCGGCGTCGGAGTTGAGAGCTGAGTAGTCTCACTCTTACTCTCACTCTCACTCTCACTTCTCACTCCCGCTCCCACTCTGCTTTCCTCTGTGAGTCTCTTTTGGGGGGATGGTATGTCCATAGGATAAAAGAAGTGGGATGGGAATTGTGTTTTGTGTGTGTGCGTGGGTGCTTGATAATTGATTGATCGACTAGGGGTTATGGGGAACGGACCGGGACAGGCACACAGGGCCAAACATGAGGAAGAACATGACACTCACTTGTCTGCGAGGGATCCATTGCTATTGCCAATGCCTATGCTGGTGCCAGTACCGGTGCCAGTGCCATTGCCCTCCGTCTTGAGGCGCATGGACGACTTGCGCGATGCTGGGACGGGGTTGCTGGAGGGTCTCACAGTGGCCGATGATCGGGTGCTGTCGGTACTGGTGCTCGTGAGAGAGCTGAAGCGGGAGCCGGCCTCATTCCTCGTCATTGTCGCCAGGCCGTCGCGAGAGGGCGCGGAGCCATGTCATTCCCGAGAAACAAGGTTGAGAGAAACAGAGGGGACCGGCACACAGCACGGCACGCTATTGCTGGTGGACGCAGTACCCCGTCTCCGTAGGCGGTACGGATTAAGATACGTACGTTAACGCGTGATGGACGGAAGCGTGAGTTATGGGCACTGGGCGGTATCCGTAAGTTGGGCCTAGCGGGCACGCGGGTAATCGACGACGAGGGTGGAGTGGGCAGTAATCGTAATCGATATTTGCGGGTGGGTTTTTACGAATGCCCGTGGTGTATTCCGTAGATGAGGTGTGGAACAGGACAGCGGCGGCGAATGCGTTTGCGACTATGCGCACTTTCGGATTTTGATGTAGAAAGTAAGCAATGGAAACAATCCGGCGAGACGCGAGAAGCGTAGAGGGCTGGCGTCGTGGTTGACGATCCTGTTCTAGTGTATGTACGGATGGGATATTCGTGAGATGGCAAGGTAGAAGTGCAGGCACGAAAACAGCTCGAGGGCGACAAAGTCCAAAGTCCAAGAGAGGGGTCGAGGCCGTTCTGAGAAGGAGGTGGGCCGACAGAGACAGAGGCTCAGAGTAGGTGTGTTGAGATGGATACGATTAGATCATGTTTGTGGCTGGCGGCGAGGTGGAATGAAAAAAGAATTGGAACAGCGGCAGGACAGGAGGTATGTATTGTCGTCAAAAGATGGCTGTTCTGGCAGTCCGGTCGCATCTGCTGATGTCAGTTGTGGTGCAAAGAGGCGAAGAAGAATGAAGCTGCGTGACAGCGAGAATAGCGAGGTAATGTAAGGTGGTAAGGTAGGGCCGAAAGGTGAGATAACTTGCTGCTGCTGCTGCTGCTGCTACTACTACTACTTCCTACTACTGCTGAGGTGTGTGTTCAGGCAACAAAAGTATGAGGTACTCGGGGTAGTCTTGTACAACGGACAAATGAGCTCCCTGGGTGAGGTAAGGTAAGGCGAGGTGAGTGCGAGGTGAGAAGGTACTGGTCAGGTAGCTCGACCCAAAGTCGGTACCTAAAGGTAAGTTGCGTGGTGTGCAGAGTGCTGGTGTACCGACCGGGAGTATGTGGTGGCGTGCAGCGTATGGTGCGGACGGCAGAGTATCCGTACCTATCCCCCGCGCTCTGTGTTGGCGGTGGCGCGGTGCTGGGTTCTAATGGTGTTGGAGGAAGATGTCTTCGATGCGAGGCTTCAATGTCCCTCCTACCTGACGGATACATCCCCCCCCCCCCATCGTTTACCAAGTCATGTTGCAGTCATTCGTTTCTGCATTTTCGCAACTATAAATCGAATGTATACACAAGGTAGTGCTTACTACGCCGACATACCTTGCACAATAAACAGTCGTGCCTGCCTCCATTTGCAAGATGGATTAAGCATGCTTGCTTCCCATGTATTTTACGTCCCAAGGCACCTGCCTCACGAAGTGGAAGCAGATACCAAGTCAGGGAAGGTGGCTACTTACTTAACCTTTGGGTAAGGCGAGGGAGGCACCGAGTGACCAATGGTCTGTTCCCATCCCAATTCAATCCCAATGCCTTTCGTCCGTACAACCTCAATGTGACAATACCTTACCAGGTACTATGGATAAATCCATCAGAAATCCCGTCGTTCAATCTTTGAATGCAACTTGTGTCCCTACCTATCCCGTATTTCCAGTATGGAGGCCATGTTTGAAAGAAGCACCACCATTCCATGTTTCAATTCCAGGAAACCCTGTCACCATCAGCTCAGACACGAAACCTCAATTTAGTGTACCAATCTGATCTGTACGCAATATTTCCTACAAGGTAATGTGGGAGGTACCTCGACACCTACCTTACACAAAAGAGTACCTTACTTCACTAGTATACTAGGTGGATGTGGGCTTTTCCGGGGATTAGACCCGCTCCAGGACTCGCTTCCGTCGCTCTGCCGGAGCGTAGCGCGCTGAGGTGCGGTTGAGTGGGCGAGCGAGAGTGGATAAGTAAGGTAGTTAGTCGGGCTATATCCCAAGTAAGTACCTACGAATAGACTTGAAAGTCTCAGAGATGGACCACCAGGAGTGCCGCTCAGACCGGGCAACATATCCGCCATCAGGAGCCATCAGGAGCCTCGCACTTCCGCATGTCTTTCCCTCAGGTACGTTGGACTCTGAGAGGCGTCTCTTTGCGCCTACACATCCTTGCATTCAGGTTCATCGATGCTATACCGAGTACTCCATACCCTGCGCCTAAAGCTCCCTCTTTCTCTATGCCTGTGCCTCTGTGGGCCGCCGAGATGCCTTGTCGCGTTTCGCTTCGTCTTGCGCAGGGCACATGTGTATTCGCTGTATCTTTGCCTGAGTGAACATTGACATACAGCGACAGGCTGGATGCTTCAAAGATATCCAACAAGTCCACATCGACATGATTCGATCACACGTTCAGATAGGTATAGGGCAGGTACCAATCATGTGTTGCCGACGGGATGCATCAAGGCATAGTTGTGCTTTCTTCTTCTTCTTCTCAGTCCCAAAAATTCTGCCAGGCAGAGCTTTGGTTGCCCTTGTTTCGAGGGAATCAAAGTGTTTGGTTCCCCGATACTTAGCGCGGTGGGTGTGAACGACAATATCTTCATTTTAGCGTCTGAGGTTCCGTGAAATGGCCCTTTTGACTGGAGGTGCGGTGTTGCTGAGGTGCTGAGGTACTTGGAAGGTGGGGTAGCAGGCAGGAACATGCTCACGGACCACCTGCACAAGATGTCGGGTAGATGGTAGCGGGCAGGGCAGGGATGGCACCTGATCTGGCTGGGGTGGGGCGATGAGTACTTTCATGATTGGTTTGTCCAACTGCGAGTGGCTGACATGTTTTGGGGAAGATGGAGGTAGGTACGGAGCACCGTATCTCCTCCTTCTAGGCTAGTCTGTTTGTACCTTTGTACCTTACCTCCTCTGAGGTGGTATGTAAGGTACACCTCAGGGCAGGTGTGAATGGATGCTATCTCGGGACTTGCCATCTCCCGCTAATCACCTGCGACATCTCAAGTATCGTCCTATCGTCCGTTCGCATTCCACCCAACATATCATTGTGCGCATCAAGAGATGAGAGACGAGGAACGGGAGACGATAGCACATCTCAACATCAACCGTCCACTCGTCCCCGTCCACCTCGCAAGGAACGGACTCGCGACTCGCAACGCCAGAGCTGAACAGAGGTCAGTGTCATCGTCCAAGGGACTGGCTGGCAGGGGAACAGACTACAGATTCTCAAAGAGTAATACGACTCTGACACTGGCTGCCCAATGTCATTTCCGATATTCTTTTTCCTCAGACCAGAGACCAGAGACCAAAGACCAGTCACTGCACTACACTACGGTCCCTACGGGTAGACCAGACCTTAGACCAGACCTCCTTCTCTCATCTCAACCCGGACTCTTGGGCTCATGAACCTCTGAGCACACGTATACGAAGTAATACGGGGTACGAAGCACAGAGAACGAAACAGAGGCTTTCTTTCACCTTAGTCAGTTAATGTCTCCTCTCTGCTTGTTCAACCCCGCGACCTCAGTCTCATTTCATCTTGGCACAGCGCGGCACGCAACGTCCAGCTTCATAACTCCATCTCAGCGCGGCTGCTAAGCGGCTGCTGTTGCGTTACCGTTCAGTTGCTATTATTGCCTGCTCCTTGTCGCATCATGGTGTTCCATTGCTCGATTGGACAGGTCTCCAGCTCTGGTTGGGCATCTTTCCCTCTTTTCTATTCTACCTGCCTACACAAAGGCATGTGGTATGTCCATTCCTGTAGTAGACTATCCATCACCGTATTATGCATCCATACTCCGACTACGGCATGTGTTCCGGTCCATGTCTTGATACCTCACGGCTGTCCTCCCGCGATTCATTCCCAACTCCGGCCAAGCGCCCGTCGTTGGGATCTGTCCAAGTTGCGAGATAACTGTCACAATCGAAGCCTCACTCACGGACATGGCACATCTGCCAATTAGATGACAGAGTGACGACCCCGTTACTAGCTTTTTCTGTCAATATCAAATCTAAATTCGTCAAAGTTCCAACCATGGCCCCTGGCAACTCTTGCCATTCCACGGACGCAGTTGCGTTACCTTGCGGCTGGTTTAGGTAGCCTACCACCTTACCTGACTGCATCTCACCCACCCATGTAGCCACCACCACCATCCCCCCACCATTCCCGAGTCGTTGAGCTCGCATATGAATAAACATTCACAGTGCATCTCATACTCGCCCACACACGCACACATGCCAGCCATGCAGCAGCCCGCGAGGCAACGCATAGGTCATACACACCGCAGTTCACCAGCAGGGCAAGCCAGCTCAGACGCTCGTCTCATCCTGTATCCCTACCTCGTACGCCTCCACGGCTTTTAACGCCGCAGTACGAGTGTTCCGCGTCCCCTGATGCTCTAGGGTTCCCCTTCTTCGCTCTCTTCTATTGCCTCCTCATCTGGCCCCTCTTTACTGCCTTAACCTGCTTCCCCGTCCCAGCAAGCAACCTCACACATGTTGTCGAGCGAGCAGCCTCCCTGCTTGGCCACATGTCTTCTACCACTCTACTTGTTCTGCGCAGCAACTCTGCTCATCTATCAAGGCGACGCTTCCCAGTAGCTCCCAAGCGTCGTTCACGACACTAACCGTCCAGGCGTGCAAGGCCCAAACTCTATTCTCCCATCACCACCTCCAAGCGTCAATATGGCCTGATACTGACATCTTATTTGGCAGTTCGATCTCTGCAGCAAGTTGTGGCTACAGCTATCTCAAACCATGACTGCTCAGTCACCCTACCCAAAGCAAATTCATCGCCCTCGCTACTCGCCTCTTTGGCTCTTACCTTGTCGCCTGTTGCCAAAGAAGGTCCCTTTCAACCAGTTCTACAAAGAAACCCCAGTCTCTCACTCTCCGACGCCACATGTCTTGCCTAAGAACAAGAAGGGCTGTCGCCAGACAGCGATCAATGCGCCCACTGGAGGGC